CCCAATTACGGGATCCTGAGTTTATTTATATTTTTAAACAGGACCCCTTATTCGGGATCCTGTTAAATATAAATTTTTAACATAAAAATGTACGATCATTTTTATGTTACAAAAAAAGCGTGACACAGAATAGCGCTTTAGTATTAAGAGCGCCCACAACGTCGTTGTTGATATCCTTGACCGTTAACGATAATAGACAAACCAAGTCGCTTGCTATTATAAATTGCCGTCTATGAATTGGGTCAAGATGCGAATCATAGAAATTAATGTTTTTTTTTTTTTTTAAAAAAAAAATATATATATATATATATTTAAACGGTCTAGTATAAATGTAAAACGTACATGCTCTTAAAATTTTTCTTAATGACATAAACTTAGCTATATTTTAGATCCGGGGTCTATTATAGGTTTTAAAATTGGTGGAATGTACCAGACCCGGATCTTGTATATAGCAATTCATGGTAACAAGTGCATAGTTTAATACAAGTTTTAAGCCTATAATTAACTTTTGTTTTTTTTTTAGACATTTTCACCGTTATTGTTAAAGGAACTGTTGCTGTTGAAGTAATCGTTACCGGGGATGTCGCGTTAGTATAATCATCGATCTTGGTGCTGTATAGTTCTCTGATTTGTCACTTCTGATGCTTTTCCGGGTGGACTTCTTTGACGGCATGCTTTTGGCATCTTGTAGCTCTTGGAGTAACGTTCAAACTTAAGCGATTTCAGGGATTTTTCATTGAACAATGAAAAATCCCTGAAATCACTTAAGTTTGAACGTTCTAAATTCGATATATTAAAAATAAGATACCATTTTCTTTTTGTTTATGTTAATTAATAGAGGAATATCCACTTAACCAATTTATATTTTTTTTTGATGTTTCATTAGAGGTGTATAATTCTACACAATCAAAATACTAATTCTATGGAATGCATCATTCTGAAATCCTAAATAAAGTACTTAAGCAACTCTATTTTAACTTTTAAAATACACAAATAATGCTGAAAATAATTGCCGTGGCTGATAATAGAAATTAGCTGATGCTGAAATTTGTGAAAATATAAGCCCTGCTAAAATCTACATATACACTTTAATAATAAATTCTAGTTCCGAATCTTAATCAAACTCTAAAAAAAAAAAAGTGGAAAAAAATGCCCCTCAAAAAATTTAAAACTTCATATATTAAAATAGGTCTAATTTCAGCATCAGCCGTGACATTAATTGAATTTTCGGATTTGATATAAAAAATTGATTTATTCAATCTGGTACATATGAATTGTTGACGTTTTTACATAGAAAATCATGACCAATTTTTAAGCGCTAACTGATCGAGAAATCGAAAGAATCATAATGATCGACATGGTCAAAACTTCCTTTTATTGTTCGTTAAACCAACGAATCAATACAGAACAATATATATACGCTACTTCTATTGTATAAACCATGTGACCCAGGTTTTTGAAGGTGCCCAAAATTATCGTGACTTGTTTACATGATTACAGGTTTTTTACAAAGTTGATTTTAAAATTAATGATCCGGCAACCCGGCTTTTAATTTTATTAAAAAATTTCTATATACGTAAACATTTAAAAACTTACCCGAATAGTAAACATAGTCACCTATACTCCTCTTACCCATTTTAATAGTCAATAGCAGCTTTTTTTCTTTAATCAAGAAACGATACAAAAAACAATTAAAGACAAAAATGATAAAAAAAATCAATAAATAATAGTGTAATTTATTATAATTTATTTGCTTATTCCTGAGCAAACTCTAGAATATAATCGACTTCAGCTGCTCTAATTAATCGAGCTTCTTCTACCAATGTTTTAAAATTTTCTTCTGACAATCGTAATAAAGCATTGGCAGTAATATTTTGAACAGTAAGAAGGTTATGAGTGCCCCGGGCATGATACAATTGATATACGCGTAAAGCTGCCTTCCATGTATAACGATAAGCACTGGTAGAAAAATTGATTTGGATAATCTTTTTGGCAGCTGAACTCCAAAACTGAGCTTCCAACCATTCCCCCAAAAGATAATAATATTGAAGAAGAGAGACCTGGTCAAGACGATTTTGATGCATCTTGTTCCTAATATATGTAACCTGATCTTCCCAGGTCTCACCATGTACTTCATTAAGAGACTTGTTAGTAGGGTTGCATTATGAACATTACAAACTTACAATACATGAAATTTTACATAAGTTTCAGTAAATTAGATTTCATGTAAGCTTCATTACGTTATATATAATGTGCCAACTTTACAAAATTCGGCCAGTATTATTATCATTGAATATATGATCTGATTAGTACTCCTTAATATTTGATCTCGAAATTGCATATTTTTGTATGAAAACTAATTTACTGAAACAAGATTATATAAAATTACGCAAAGTTACAATCCTACCTGGTAGAGATATCAGTTCTTTTTAAATCATCTAAATACAATGACATTCGGACTTGTTCTAATGGAATGGTGGTAAGATCCTCGGATAGTATTAAGGAAACAGGCTCACCTTCATGATCATAACACATAATCGTGTCATTCGTGATTCGAATTTTTATTACTAAGGTGTCTTTTATTTGTTTGCGAAGTTGAAAAACATTTTTAATAAATTTTGGTGTGACTAAAAATGCCATTGTGTTAAAATTTTTATTTAAATAATAGAATTTAATCCTAAGATTCTGCTCTTTCACGAAGGTAAAAATTAATGCTTTTTATAACTTTGAGTTAGTATGAGGCTTTAATTGATGATGTTATCCTTTCACAGCCAAAACTTCTTTCTATTTCTAATCAGAACTTTAATAAGAAACAAGGTTTTTCTATCTTAGAGGTAAATAATTAATATAATATTTTATTTTAGAATGTTACAGCCTGTAGTTAATTTTTTTTTTGCGCTTTTCAATACTTAGCTTCTATACACTGCCATGCGTAATTTTTATTGACTTCGCGTTTGTTTACTTTAGCCAATTATTATTCTGTCTTGGCCAACAAACCTCCTGCGTATATTGTAGTCAAAAATTTCATAGCCTTAGTCGTTATGGCAAGCCTACTTATAGAGGCTTAATTAATTAATAGTAATAGTTTATTATCATTATAGCTTACTATTTTTTCGATTCGATTCTTCAATATTTTTATGGTTTTGCTGACAAACCCATAAATTAAAAGAAATTTCCGCAGTTGCATGTGTGTGGCAAAGGTCTATTTAGAGGCTTAATTGGTAGTTTATTACGGCTTTTTGCTACAATTCTTCAAAATTTCCATTTTTATTGTTCTTAATGATATTTCTATAGGTTTGACCAACCAAACCTATAAATTAAAGAAATTTTCTGCAGTTTATTGATTACGCTTGTACCTATTTAGAGGCTTAGTGAACTGTAATTTATTATGGCTTACTATTTTGTTTCAATTTTTTTTTTTTGTATCGATACCGGTCCTATGGGTTTGGTTAGCTAAACCACAAATAAAAAAATTGCCACAGTAGAGTTTGTATTTATCAAGAAAATTTCTACTCAGGTATTATTAAATTACCCGGTTATCAGGTAATTTATGTCTACCAGGTACAATCTCTATGCCACAGTTATTCTTTACAACAGGTGAAAGAGTTACAGTGAAAAATGTATAGCGAAATAGATATATCAAAAGAGGCAAAATAAAATTAAAGAAATAGCAAAAGAGTAGTTTTCAATAACTAGAAAAGGTTATCATATACAAAGTTCAAACAATTGTCCAAAAAGTATAAAAATGCCATTTTTTCACGCTAATAAAGATTTTCAGACTTTGTCTTTAAAGCTTTATTTAAATAAATATATATTTTTTAACTTAGTTATAATATACATTATTTAAATTGTTAAATATCGTCTAATGTTGT